ACACACATACGCACGCACACGCACGTTCTCAGGCGTGTACACACACACACACGCACGCACGTCGGGGTGCAAGTGTGCAGGCCAGGCCCATACGATGCACGGCAGCAGCAGCGTCTCCCAACGGCATGTACCGTACAGTGCGGGAGTGGCCAATGCTGCTACATTGTGCACGGGTGAGGTCGCCCTCCTCATGCCGCCAGATTATGCATGCATCACGCGTTTGCACAATGTTTCCGCACCAGCATGAGATTCCTTCGTTGGCATCTTCACAGTTTTGTTCCCCCCTGATCTCAAGAAACCCGGCACTGCCCCACAACTCTTCTCTTTGTATTGTACAAGCAATAAAGAAATCAGTGTGCCACCCTTGGCTCGGTTCAGGCGCACATTCATGCGGATCGCGGGATCGAACATGGGCGGCAACAAGGATGTGGAGGCTTCCAGCTCTTCTCTGGTCGACATACAAGATGCGAAAAAGCTAGAGCGCCTGACTTCGATAACCACAATGCAGAACTACACGCATGCCCCAACGTGGGTGCCTGGCCCAGTGCACACCGGGTGTGCCTCAAGCTCATAGCAACATCACCCCCACATCGGCAATCCTGAGCAAAAAACACGTCTGCTTTTGTGAAAATTGATGTATTCCTGACCGTGCAAGCTCAAACAAGCAATCGACTGCAACTAGGGCAGGCTGCCACCACACCAGGCATCGTACACATCAACCGTTGCAACCAGCTTGGTGCCCAAAGCATTTTGGGCGCCGAACAAGCAGCGTATCCCTGTTTATACCCGCCTCACCTTGACGGCTTGGCTGTCATCCCAAGGTGCTGGTGCAGGATAAGTGTGCAGGCACCACCACCAGGCTAAGTCCTCAGTATTCGCCAAACCGCCCACCACAGAACGCAATTGTCGTCCCTCTTTCGCCCTCCCGCTTGTCGCTTGCCTGGCCTCGCAGACCCAAGAAGCAGGCCGGGGTTCTTTCAGCCTTCAAGTGGTGGGCGGCTTGGGCGGTTCCAGGGCTAGGCATGTTCAGCGAAGGTAAGCAGGATATTGGTTGCAGCTTGCAGGTGGTTGCACCTGCCACCAAATGGCCTCTTGCTTGGGCGGGCAGGGACTACCTCTGCGGGGGCCATGATGCGTTTAAGTGCATTAGCAGCACTCCTCGGTGTGCCGTTTGAAAGGCGACCTTCACATATGCTGATGTCATCGTGCGAGCCTCGACAACTGTTCGTTTTGCTGAGCTGCACACCATGGTCACACCTGGCCCGTCCACCTGACCCAGCCGCCATGACCATCTCCATTGACGGCATCAGCCCCCATCGTTCAGGCCCCGCCTCACTCATACGCCACTCAGACAGCAGTGCCCTCCTTCAACCCCACCTCACCCCCCTCGCTCCTGCATGATCGTGTTCAACGGCTTCGTCCACACCCAGCCCACTCACCCCCCTCCAAAATAACCCCACCCTATCACCCACTGCCGCAACCCCAGCCTACATCATCTTCTCTATCGGCCTGATCAAGCCCTTACAGTCTGCCGCATTCCCCACCTGCTTTGAAACACACGTGGACTGCCGCCCTGAGGAGGTGTGCGCGTCCTGAGAGCGTTTGCCAAGGGGACAGCAGAGAGCCCCGCCCCTGCGCCAACATATGAGGACGGGAAGAATTGGTTGAACAGTGAAGCCATAAAAAGCCAGGGCATCCACAACTCCCTCAGCACGGTTGTTGGTCCTGCATTTGCAGCACCGACCAAGCGCAGTGGGGGCAGCCCCTTGCCCTGACACCCCACGTCAGCCACATCACTTGCATACCGATCGCTCCCGCCCCTCCGCAGACCCACGTGATGAACTTTGTCCAGATCGCGGGGATCATCCTGGGAATGCTGGTGTTTGGAGCCTTGGGTGACATCATTGGCCGTTGCTGGGGCAGGTGGGCGGTAGCCGGCAGGGGCAGTTTGGGGCCATGATGGCGCGTCTAGGGGGCAGGGGCACCAGGGGGCAAGCACAAATGTTTGGTGATCGCAGGGGGTGTTGATCCTGTGGGGGATCAGACGCTGCGTGCCAAGGATGCTCGGACTTAGACGCTGTCTCGACCATCGACGGCTGAATCCCATGTTACCCGCGCCCACCTGCCTACCATGCATTACCTGCCCCCCAGTCGGATCGTGGCCACCATCATGCTGACTGGCTCTGTCATGCTCGTGTTCTCAGCGTTGGTGCGAGACCCCCTCACCTACCTGCAGTTCTTCATCTTCGCCCAAACCTTCTATGGCTTTGGTGTCGGCGGAGAGGTGTGCGAGGTTCCTTGGGGGTTGTACTCTCGAGCTTGCCGGTCAGTCAACCCACAATTCCAGCCAGCCCTGCCGGGGCTGCTTTCTCGGCTGGCGAGCCGCCAATGTTGGCCATGGCACGCCCTGCATTATCGTCCACCCTACCTGTGCAGTACCCAATGGCGGCAAGCTCGGCGGCCGAGCGGTCTCAGAGCGACCCCGAGCTGCGCAACAAGCGGGGGCAGCAGGTGGTGCTCACCTTCTCACAGCAGGTGAGGGCTCAGCTGTGACCCACTTACCCTTTTTTTCTGGCGCGTGGGGGGAGGTGTCATTGACTTCAGTGGCTGCCAACAGCCTGCTGGCTGCAGCCTTTTGGGCCATGAAGCCTTGAGTCCGCGGGAACCTCTTGCCAAGAGGGGTACAGCCAGCAATACATGTATCGCCACTGCTCCTCCTCCCCCCACACTCACACCTGCCCGTGTGTCTCTGTTGCCTGCTAGCGCACTTCTTCACAAACTCCCAATTCCTTCGAACAAGCGGCCCCCCCAGATCGACACATCCAACCAAGCGCCCTTCCCCCGTTGAACCCACCCAGGGCATGGGGAACCTGGTCAATGGCTGCGTCATCCTGATCTGCATGGCCATGCTGGGCCAGACCGGCCACGTGCTGGAGGGCAGGGCGTCGCGTGACATCATCATTATACAGGTGGGGTGGACCAACGCCACAACGTGATTTGGTACCTCCAGTGGCCTCAACACTGTGGGCCACTCGCACAGCACATGCGAGGCTTGCCGCGCCAGATGCCCTTGAGCCCAACCCTTTGTAGTGAGTGGGCTGATCTTGGCCTCTTTCTGACGACCCCTTACACAGCCGCCGCGTCGCGCTCAGCAGTCAGGGGAACCCGCTACTGCTTTCTACGACAGGCTGCCCTCAGAATGTGCTGTGCACTACTGTGCCTGGCCCAGCCCTATGTTGGCAGCCCCTCGCCTTCCCTCTAAACACGCCACGCAACCGCTCTTCGCCCTGCCCTAGTTTGCAGCAGCTGCTGCAGTGAGCGTATTTATGACTGTCTGGCGCTACACCAAACTGGAGGAGTCGAAGGTGTGGAAGGCGGAGCGCAAAGATGCCGAGGACATCACCGCCCAGATCGAACACAAGCAGGTGGGGCGGCCCAGGTGTCACGCACCAGCGCGCCACCGCCACCAGCTGCAAAACACCCTCTTGACGCGTGGCCTCACCTGCCCGCCCCGGTGATTCTTCCGGGTTTTTGCAGATCAACTCGTGATGTGCCCGCACGCCTGCCCAAGGCAGCTGGCAGGGGTGAACACTCATCCACGCGCGTCCTGCTTCCCATGCTGTGTCTCGTCTCTCCCCCCAGAAACTCTACATGTACAAGACCACCCTGTACCGCTTTGGCCCCCGGCTCATGGTCACATGCCTCGGCTGGGTCATGAACGATGGTGCGCCTGCGCAGTCCCAATGCCGCTGCAAAATCGTGAGGCGCTACCTGCACCTGCTGCTGGCAATTAGCAGGGCCGATTGCCGCCGAAGAGGACATGCCCGTTTGGCTGCACAGGCCCTAAGAAGAATGAAACACATGCGCCGAAGCTGCCATTGCGCTGGCACGTAGCCTGACCGCCGTCGTATGCTCGTTTTGCTCTTTGACAATCGCTGCAGGTGCCTTTTACGGGAACAAGCTGTTCCAGTCCAAGTTCATCGGTGAGGCCATCAGGCTTCTTCTAGGTTTGACTCAAACGAGGGTCAAAACATGAGCCAGACGCCGCCAACACCGCGGTTGTACCTGCACGAGAAGGCGTACCCACATATTTTGCTGCTCTCAACCGCAAAATCGCAGACCGGCCATGCGGAGCCTGCGCGCCCACCAAACAACACGGCTCCCTCTCCTCGACCCCTCCCTCCAGCGGCGCTGTACCCCAACGCCACGCAATTTGAGCGGATGCAGTGGACGGTCCTCAACAGCGCCATCTCGCTGCTGGGCTACTGGGCCGCCGCCGCGCTGGTGGACAAGCCCTGGTACGGCCGGTGCCGCATGCAGGTGCGGCCTGGCCGCGCGTGGCGGGCCGCCGCCATTCCTCACTGGAATGCCTTGTGTTGTGCTGCCAGGGCTCCTGGGTGCCGTGGACCGCTTGTAGGGAATCCTGGCTGGCATTCCACTGCATAGCAAGAGCTGGTGGGGCAGGTCTTCATCCTCCTGCCTTGGTGCGTTGCTGTGTCTTGCCCTGCCAGCCCTCTTTCCGCCCCATGCAGCTGCACCAAAAGCCGCCCCCCAAACGCACCCTGCCGACCTGCTCCAAACCAGACGATTGGCTTCTTCATGATGTTTGTGCTCTTCATGGCCTGCGGCGTAGCCTACGGCCCGCTAACTGCCAGCGCCACGGGCTTCAAGGCGTTCCAGGCCCTCTACTTCCTCTCCAGCTTCTTCAACCAGTTCGGGCCCAACTGGTGGGCACACGCCGCCCTTGCTCTCACTGAAAATCACCAGTTATGGGCAGGCGTGCAGTGGCAGTCCGACACGTATACACTGGCGGCTTTGAATGCATGCAGCCGCTCTTGTTTCGGGGCAGCACTCAAGTGCACAGCGCGCGGGGTCCTGTGCCCGCCAGTCGCAGCTTGACTGGATTCGATCGCGCAGCCCTGTACCCCTGCACACCTGCACACCTGCACACCTGCACACCCCACCTTGACAACCTGCACTCAGCATCGCTGCTGCCCACCCAGCCTCCAGCCCGTTCCCTGAAACATACTTCTTCCTGCGCCCCCCCCCCCGACCCTCGCCCTCATTACCCCCGCAGCACGACCTGGCTGGTGGCGGCCGAGGTGTTCCCCACAGACGTACGCGCCACGTTCCAGGGCACCAGCGCGGCCGCCGGCAAAGTGGGCGCGATCATAGCAGACATCGTCTTCGGCCTCGTCAGGTGAGGCAGGTCAGCGCCGCGGGTCCCGGCTGCATGCCTGGCGTCAAATGGCTGATTTGATCCAGCGCTGATTTGCTGCCCGGGTGACGGGGGACGGCCGCGCTGCGACGCCTGAAGCAATCCTGTTTTTCTCCTTCATGCAGCCGCGTTGCAGCCATGCCCCCTGCAGCCATCAATCTGCTGGGTCCGCAACCCGAGTCCGCAACCCCTCCCCATCTTTAAAACCCTCCCTCGCTGACACAGCACCCAGACGACATTCTTCATGTCCGCTGGTTTTGGGGTGGCAGGCTGCATCCTGACGCTGCTGTTCCTGCCAGACACCACAGGCCTTAGCCTGGATGAGCTGGACCGGCTGGTGGGGGGGGCTGACGGCCGGATACCAAGACACAGCACATCAACATGCTGATTTGAAAATGTTGAGACACTTTGTAATATGCCCCCATCAGTTGCTGCGCCGACTGAGCAATTGTGCGCTGTCACACTTTTAGCCTATGGGATTGTCACATCAGGCGTGGGGCTCTGGCGCTTTTTCAGTCTGTTGTCCAAATCGCTAACCTTGGACGCATTCGCCCCGCTCTCCGCCTCCATTCGATACTCTGCCCGCCCCCGTCATCAGCACAAGTACATGCTGGCTGAAGAATTCGAGCACTACCACGGGGAGGCCGTGAACCCCAAGCACCTGTCGCTCTTTGAGAGGTGCGGGGGCAGCGCTGCAGCGGCAAACCATTACCAGGACAAGGAACCAGGAGGGCGGCAACCACGAGGCTCATATGCTGTATCAGGAGGCCTGCCTATATTGCATAAGGGTTGGTGTACGCATGCTCCTTCATTCCCCCTACCTGAACCTTGCCACGTGGCAGCATGATTGTGCGCAGACCGACCCTCTGAATGCAACGCATGAACATTGTCACGCACGTTCGTTCATTGCACACCTCCCGCAACCACACGCGCGTGCGCGCACACACTCGCGCCAACACCTCAACACAAAGGTACGTCCTGGGCTGGTCCAAGCACTACAACCCCGACATGGACGCACACCACAAAGAGCTGCAGGAGATGGCCGCAGCCACCAAGGCCAGCCAGGCTGTCGCAGAGCAGGACGCCGCACGCGGCCGCGCGGCCGACCCTCTGCTGGAGATGGCAAACCGCGGGGCCAACAACGGCCACGGCGGCGCGCAGATTTGAGCTTGTGCAGGGGGCGAGGTGGTAAAGCAGCCTGGTTGTCTGACAGCTGCTAGGGAAGATCAAAGGGTCAAAGTTTGGGGCCGGACGGCGGCAATCATAGCCGGCTAGCAAGGCGTTCCCCATCGTCCTCAACGTCCTGATTGCACAACACACGCAGACCCACCTATTTTCGAATCACCATTGCAATTGGTTGCCAGTGCCCTGCAACGCCTCCGACTTTGTGAATTTTCAAGACCCATCTGTGCTAGGGTGGATTCCTGATCGTCGTGTCATTGCAGCACCACGCGCACCGTCAGCCCCTGAATGGGTGGACTGATCAGCCTGGGCGCTTTCGTCAACTTGGGGCTCCTGGCTTCAGCCCTTGGTGAACCCAGCATGCGGCTTCTTGTTATCCAGTTTTCATGCACCTATGGCTGTACATATATTTGTACAATTTATATGATGCATTCGGGGACACTCGCCTGATTCGGCGCCTCTGCATACACCTGCCCACGATTATTGGTATTGTCTGTGGACTCTAAGTTGCATAGACACTTTGCACAGTTCGAAAATTACAGGGCGCACATTGTTGAATAGCACGATTGTAATCTCCTTCGTTGCTGATACAAAAACAAGTATCTGAGCACAGCACATACATATTTACATTGGTGGCACAGCAGCAACCGCTGCACAGCGGACAGTATCAAGCCCACTGCCATAGTACGCCACCTGCTTCATCAACTGTACGGCCGTTGGAAGTTATGGCCAGGTCTAGCAACAGCAATAACATAACAACACGCAGCCCGCCAACAACAGTAAGTCCTATCCTCTGTGTCACCGCCGACCCCGTTTATTTGCTCGCTTCTTCTTGCCGCATGTCGCCGCCGCGCGCTTCCCACCTGGCCGCTCCTCCTCCCCCTGCCCCTCCCCCTCCGCTGACGCCTCATCCGCCACCGCCTGCTGCGCCGCAAGCTCAGCTTTCTGCCTGCGTTCCCGCGCGCGCTCTTCCTGGCCCTTGACGCGCTCTGCATCAGACTCGTCCGCCGCCTGCAGGTCTGACACCTTGCGCTCCAGGGCCTGGTTGAGTGGGGGGAGGTTGTAAAGTGTGTGCATTGCTTGAACTAGGGGCCAGATGCATGGGCAGCTGGCGCTTGGGCATGTTCATGTGCACACAGCGTGAGGGTCGATGTAGTGGCGCCCTCCGCCGCACTCAGCGGCGGAGGGCCCTGGAAAGGAGGAACCACCGAGCACCCACAAGAGTTGGGAGGACCTGTGAGCTCAATGTCTGGCCCAACTCGGCCCAGCCCACCTGCGGCCAGTCTTGGTAGGGCTCGTCGAGCCCTAGCTGCTGCAGGATGAGGCGTATGTGCTTGCAGTCGTGCTTGCGGATCCTGCAGCGGAAGGCCGGCAGACACGACCCAGATTGAAGTGTGATTGTGTGATGCCAGCAAAGGAGGCAAGGAAGGGCGTGCAGCACCTGCCAGCTGCGCATCGGGGCAAATAAGTGGTCCTTTGCCCAGCCACAGCAAAAACCTGGGCGGGTTGGTTGAGTGCGGTCGCAACTGACGCACGAGCGCTGCCAATACCTCGCATCAAACCATCATGTTGCTGGGTCCTGCCCTCGCCGCCCACCTGCAGTCCATGCACTCGCACGTGCGCGGCCGCCTGCCCTGTTCCGGCCGTGTCGTAAACCGCACCTGCGCCGAGGGTGCGGGCCGGTGGGTATAATAAAATTGGTGTGGGGCGCTCAATTTGGGGAGATGCACCGCGCGGCGTATCTGAGCGTACTGCCTGCAAAGGGCACTGCCCCTGCAAGTTGGGGAACGGACCTGCAGGTGACACCTCTCCCGATGCATACAATCATACAACCCGTCCTGCGCCCCAGCTTGCGCAGCGGGCAGGGGCCCCAGCCGGCTGACCCTCGACTCACGGCATAGTGGTCACCCTTGGATCCGATGACAATGAACGTGGCTTTCTGGGCGCCCTCGCCTCCTGCGATCAGGTCGTTGCTTTACCATAAGACGGCCAGGTGGATCCAGGTGGCAGCACAATTGACCACCTACCGCCACACCTCTCCTTGACCATCGCACCTGCATCCTGAGGGCTGCCTCGCCCGCATGCCGTCCCCCTCACGTACTTGAGCCCACGCCTTTGAAAGTGCACTGAAAAACCAAGCATCAAATATGCAAACAAGCACGTGTCCTTCACAAAGCCAGTGGTGCTGCGGAGCCCTGGACCCACCCTGGCCCTCCACGCTCCACTCCACCAGGCCCCCCATCTCCAGCTCGCGCAGCCGCGCCTTCTGGACGTCACGCATCGCCTCCGCCTGGAGCAGCCGGGGTTGAAAGTCGCAGGGAGGGGGCGCATGGCGGGAAAGCGGTGGTTCCCTCTGTGGCGCCTAACATGATGAGATGGGCGTATGGCATGTGCACCAGCTCATGGGCGGAGGGGGAGGGCAGTGCAGGAAGCGCAGGGGTGCAGGCGGTTGCTCACGCTGCTCCTCTTCGCTTGGTCAGTGTCTGAGCCCCAGCAGCGGCCCGGCTTGGTGCTTTTTGACACAGGCCGCCGCGGCTGGGGCAAAACGCCATCAGGCCTGGACATCACCACAACAAAGCCCTCCTGCCACGCACTCGCACACTCAAACACACAAGCAAAGCGCTACCCCAACATCAAACAACTCACGGTGGCCGCAATCTCCTCTTCTGTCGGCGGCTCTGGCGGCCCCTTGCAACGCGCCAGGTGCAGCTGGCGCGCCTCCAGGCTCAGCTGCGCCCTGCCACACCTGTGTGGCCAGACAATATATGGTTGCAGGGCAGATGCGTCGAAGCACGTGCGCTGCAGGCGCGCTAGGCACAGCACCGCCGACCCTGTGGTGCGACCAGGGGGACAGCCCCGCGATCATTCAGGGAGTTCCAGTGTCAAACCAAAAATGCAAAGGGATATGATTATGGCCCGTGATCGCCCGCTTCTGAAGCCATTCAGGCCAGAGAGTTTCAACTCTGGAAAAATGGGCTGAGATGGGAGGCCTGGAGGCAACCCAAGGCCAGCAACGGCCAGCAGCACGCCAGCCGCACCGCAGCATCGTGCATGCTGCCAGCCCAGAGCAGCCTCCCAGCATACTGACGGCAGCCGCAGCCGCATATAGTACCCAGAATTGCTTGCTTCATTTGCCAGCGACCTCACCCTGTGGTTGCACACTGGGCAACCATGCACCTCCCCCCCTTCACGCACCTTGGGCAATGCCCCGTGGTGATGAACTCTGCCAAATCACTGCCCTCCTCAACGCCAGCTGGCAGGCCACTGTGCGCCTCTGCCTCGTGCCCCTGCAGCGGAGGGATGGAGGAGCGCAGCCAAACGCGATGCAGAGCCACGTTTGAGCGCAGCAGCGCACCTGGGGCTGGCAGTGGCATCGCACAGACAATCCTGTAGCCCCAAGCGGAGGACCGCAGCGTACCCCAAAAGAGGCCCACCTCAAGGCGCGCCGACTTGCGCGTTGGCTCCCCTGGAGCCCTTTTGGGGCGCGGCATCGCCGGCCTGCGGTTGGCCGTTCATTAGTGGGAGCGTGGGACGCCGTTGCCCCCGTGGCGGCAGCTGTCCACACTTGAAATGGAACCTGCGATGACGTCGGCTGCAGCGCTTGCCTTGCAGTCCAAATGTCTGCACGGGCCGGGATGATGCTGAATCACTGCTGCAATGAGAGCGGAGCTTTTGTGGAGAGCGGCACCCATCCCACCCTCGCCCCTCAACCGCGGGTCCAGCCCACCCTCGCCCCTCAACCGCGGGTCCAGCATATACATATCTTCCATTCCACCCTCACTTGTTCTTTTGAGGCATCATCTTTACCAGCCCTTCCACCGCCTGAGGAATTCCCAGAGCAATCAGGCGGGCCCGGTTGCGGGCGATGCTTCGGAGGGTTGGGAGCATTGCGTGGGTGATGAGAGTGCGCAGGGAAGGGGGGAAAGGTAGGCATGTCAGGGCAAATTGAGGAGCGATGCAATTTATTTTTTGGCAAACGGCGCCCACATACACAGCTTCGGTCACTGCTAGTGCGCAAGAGTCACTGCACAGTGGGCCTGCCGTGGGCTTATCATAGTGCTTCGGCGCTTGCCAAAGCGCTTGGGGCAACGAGATGGTGAGAAGCATCTGCGCTGAAGGCGTTCATGCTACGACGGAGTTTGTTTATACCGCCAGACTCATCGCGCGAAGCCTGTGGACTCACAGTTGGAGCCGCGCAAGCTCATATGGCGCCAGAGGAGCACCATGTGCATCGACTGCCCCTTCCGCGCTTGCTGCATCTTCCATTCTATTTTTTACGCCGCAGCTGGAAGAGGTGCGAAAGTGATCTGTGCCACAGAGTGTCTTGCTGGCGGGCACCCTTTCGTACAAAGCCAACAACAAGATTGTTAAGAAGTGATCACTTGCGCCAAAACTCAGCTCAGGAGTTCAAGCACGCGCAGTATGGCTCCCAGTCAACACAGCACTCGCAGCGTGCACAGCATCACAGCATTCCCCTGCAACACTTGCTGTGCCCCTGCATATATAATTGTGCGACAAGCGCAAGCATAGTGCAGCAAGGCCATGTTCCGGGATAAATCTTGTATGACACCACATGCATGTCGCATGGCACACAGTGATTTGAACAGCCAGGAGCACCAACCAGGCACAAGCAGGCAAAAGCAAACTGGGAGCCTGCATCAGGCAGCAGCACCGCTTTGTCACCACCAGATATGCCATGTGCCTGCTGTGTCCCCACATGACTCTGCCATCACCGGTCATGAACCCGGCGTGGCGCTGTCCGGCGTGGCTGAGCCCTCCTCCTACCATGGCATGGAACGAATGCAGTTATTCAATCCAATCATTGCCCCCAAGCAACAGGCGGGGTGGCTGCTGGTCGGGCAGATGAGGGGCAAGGGGGGATGCGGCCTAGAGCACTGCGCCTTCTATGCAATTGACGATTAGACCTGAAAAGTTGAACAAAAAGGCTTGACAGTCAGCTCAGCCCTCACTTTGCGAGCACAACAATGTGGCGATGCAGCGCTGTAGTCAGTTTCCTGCGTTTGGTCAAGTCCCTTCGTTGCTCCGCTTGCATTGCACTACAACACATGCAAAGGGCACCCCTAGGTAGAGCCAGCCATCACTAGTGAGCGACTGGTGGAGCCGCAATGAGGCCTGAGTTCCACACGCAGCAAAGCCCTTTAGCGGGGAGTGCAAGGGCGTCCAGTCCAGCGTGCACTGCAGAAGGGCCCAAAGGAAAAACAGGCGCTGTGAGTGCCGTGCAACTTCCCAATGCATTGTTGCCAGTCACGTAGAGCGGTGACGCTCGAATGCCATTTCTGCTTGTCCTGTTGTGCAGGCAGCCCTCTATACGAAGTAGCGCCGTGGCCGACGCCGGCAACCCTGCACTCAGCTGCAGTTCTTTTCTTGCATAGCTGTCACCCGCACTCCTTGCACCACTGGCCGCGCCTGCAGCAACTCGACGGCACTGCCCTAACCTTACAGCGGTCACGTGTTGCTGCAGCAGGGTCGGTGATGGCAGGCAGAATGTGGAGCCTGTTGAAGCAGGCTCCGACATCCCCGTGCGCCTCCAATTTCCCAGAGGGCATACACCCTTGCAGTAACACGAGTTTGAGGATTAAACGCTTGCAAAACAGTCAGCAGGTCTCTACAATGACGTTGCAGCTCGTGCACTTCGTGTGACAACACAAAACACCAGTGATAGCTGGAAGGTCACTCCTTGTCCGGCCGCTGTTCCGCAGCAGGCGCAAGCTTCCCGACATCCCCTGGCCGCGCCAGCGCCGTCTCCCACTCGCGGCACATGCCTCGCACGTGCGCCGTCCCGACCACGACCACCACGTTCTTGGCGCCCGCCGGCGGCAGGTACTCGCCCTCGCCCAGCCCCTTTGGCGCGGAGCCCTCGGGGGCGTCCCGGGCCATCGCGTACCGCCAGACCAGCTGCCCGTTCGCCTCGTCAGCGACGTACGCCGGCGCGCCCGTCGGCGCGCCGGTCGCGGCGGCGGCGGCAACGCGGGCCATGTAGGCGTCGCGCTCGGCGATGAGCGGCGTCCAGACACCGGGCCAGCGCAGCAGGGCATCCTCCCCCCAGAACAGCAGGGGCTTGTCCAGGTTGGCCTGGGGGGGGGGGCAGGGATGATTATCGGGGGCAAGCGGAGTTGTGCTAGCGCTGGTGGATGGGACGGCAGGTTTTTTGGGAGTGGTGTTGATGAGTAAGACAGCGACAGTAAGGCAGAGCTGAGAGGGACCTGCGCCGGGGCCAGATGAGGTATAGCCAGCTGGGTGCGCCCCAGCACCACGAACGACACGCGCCGCCGACAGAGGCTTTGCCGCAGGCAGCGGCTCGCGCAGCGCGGCGGCCACGGATGCCTCTATTCACGCCGGCCTGCAGCTAGCTCGCACCTGGATGGGCTCCTTCACTGCCACCGCGTCCTCCACTGCGGGCCCGTCCAGCTTCGAAAACTGCCACACCTCCACCAGCGGCCCCACCACCGGCCACAGCACCGCCGCCGCCGCTGCGAGGCCGACGGCCAACGCCGCCGCGCCCGCGCCGGCGCCCGCGCCGGGCAGCGCGCCGTCCAGCAGGTCTGGCAGCGGCCCAACGTTGCCGGCGACGGCGGCGGCGGCGAGCAGCGCAAGCGCACCGCCGAGGCGGGCGGCGGTCTCCGGGAACATGGCGTCGGCGAGGCGCCGCTGGCTGATCATGGCCGGGCGGTCGCCTGGGGGGCGGGCAAACGGTGGTGTGGCCGGTGATGAGACGAGAACTGATTGAGATGGGATGGTCCTACCAAGGCGGCCGTTTCGATTCACGTTGTGCAGTCAGTCGCAACACATCAAGGGTACCTTGAGATGGCGATGCCACGAGACCCACACAGCCAGGCAGGCATGACTCGCCCGCCCACGGCCTCTCACACGGCCGCCCCTGCAGCTTGTGCCCCAGCAGGAGGCCGCAGCTCGAGCCCCGCCCGCAGCCGCGTCCGCGGCCCCCACCCCATGCTGGCAACTCACCCAAAATGACCTGCGACGCCCCGTGCTCGGTCGCCGCCCGCATCGCGGCCCGCCACGCCGCGCCCGACTCGACGCCCGCGGCGCGGCCGGCCTTGGCCTGCAGGCCTGAGTAGGCGCGCGTGAGCACCATGGCCAGCAGATCCTTTGAAGGGTCCGGCTCGGGGGTTGTCAGGTCAGCAGGGGCGACCTCCTCGGGCCGCCACCAGCGGAAGTAGTAGGGCCTAGGGAGCAGGTCCGCGTGTGTGTGTGGGAAGGAAGGGTGGGCGGGGACGGGGCGCAGAGAACAAAGGAGTCAAGAGGAGCGCGCCGGCAATTCGAGTTCCGCCAGGGGGCAAGACGACAGCGGTGGCTGCTTGGAAGGGGCGGCAGAGGGCATGTGCCACAGGGCTGAGCCTGCGCAGCGGACACCCCTCCCCCGGACCGCCCCCCCCCCTTACGGGTGAGGGGCCTGGCCTGCTCAGCCCCGCCGCCTCGCCAACCGCGCACCTGACGCCGCCTGCCGCCGCGCCGCGCGCCGTCATCGCCGCCTCCGCCCGCCTGGCCGCCTTGATCGCGTTCATCCGCGCCGCGGCCTCGGCCGGCAGGCTCATGCGCGGCGACAGCTGCACGCCGCGCCGCATGGGGCGGAAGCGTTCGATGTCCGCGCCCTCCTCTGCGCTGGACTCAAGGCCAGACACAAACGGCGCGTCCCCGTCGCCGAGGCGGCGCGCGCGGACGACAGCCTCCGCCTTGCCGCTGTCGATTCCTGTGAAGTCGACGATGACGTCATCGGCGCCGCTGCTGCCGCTGCCACCATCCTGCTGCTGCTGCTGCTGCTGGAGCGCCTCTGCGCCCTCTTGCTGCTGGCCCTGCTGCTGCTGCTGCGAACCGCGCACCAAGTCGATGAGCCGCTTGCGGGCTGCGAGGTACACCAGCAGAGGGGTGCGCGGCGGGTCGGCGGTGGCCGCGGCGAGCGCCTCTGCCGCCACCTCGTCCAGCTGCTCCTGGGTCACGCCAGACGCCTGAGGGGCGCGGGCGCACAGCCAATGGGGGGGGGGGATGATGATGGCAGAGTTGTCGGGGCGCGCCGGCGACCCGGCAGGCACGTTTCAGGTGTTGCTGGGCCGCATCGAGACGCCAAGCCTGCCACGCAAGGCCTGAAGCCAGGTCTGCGGGCACCGCACCCATGAATGCAATGCCTGCCGCCCAGCAGGCTTCCAGGGCCTGTCATCATGCGGCAACCCAACCGTGGCCACCGCGCCACTGCCTCTGCCCGCCCCAATCCAAGCATGCCACCCCACCTTGAGGCTGCTGTCCAGCCGCACCCCCAGGCTCTTGATCGCCGGCAGGCTGCGCGGCTGCACCACGAACCGCGTGCAGCCGAGCGGCGCGACGTATTCCAACTCCAGCCCGCCCGCCTCGCCCTCCGCCTTGACGGCGCAGAACAGCGGCGCGTCCCCCGGCCGCCCCGCGTCGCACGCCGGCCGGACGCGCGAGAAGAGGCCCGTCGCCTCGAGCGTCGCGACATCCCCCTCGACCTCGGAGGTCGTGATGATGCGCCCGATGCGCGTGCGCAGGAGCGGCGCGAGGTCCTCGGCGGTCGGCCACACCTCCCTCGCGAGCGCCTTCTCGGCAGCTGCCGCGGCCTTCTGCTCTGGTGTCTTCTCCTTGTCCTTGTCGTCCTTGTCTTTCTCCTCGTCGTTATCGCCGTCCTTCTTGGCGCTCGGCAGGCCGTCGAAGTCGATGCGGGTGCACGTCCAGGTGTCGGGGGCCTTAGTCATGGTCTCCGGGTCCACCAGGAGCGGGGTGCGGTCCTTGCACACCTCCACAACCACCACCTCGGGCTTCACGGCTGCCACCAGCTCTTTGATCTGTGCAAGTTGTTTGAGGGGGTGAGTGAGGCCCAGGAGAATGCAGGGAGGCGCCGTTGTGGAGGGCGAGACGGCAGAAGCGGCAGGTGACACCTGGGCGCGGGCGGGTAGGCGGGCGCGGCCCCGTGGGAGCGCGCAAGGAGCCCTCACCTGGTCGCATGCGACCGCCGAAACGTGCGACACGCCCAGCACGTATACGGTGGCATCATTCGCTTTGAGCACCGCGGTGGCGTTGCGTAGCGCAACGGGCAGCTCAGCTGCTGCAGGTGCGGGCGCCGACTGCGAAGGGCATTGGGCCGAAGTGAGATGTACTGCTGATCAAGTGAGAAGTACGGTTGACAAGGATCTCCACGGCATGGTGGGTCTATGCAGCACGACTCGCGGGACCGCGCACCTGCTCCACTGCAGCGGCATTCGCCCGGGACCTTGAGGTCCGGCATAAAGAGCTCCGACACTCTTTCATGTGTGTTCTAAGCCCTATGCCGGCCGCCCTCGGGGCCGGCCCTTGCAATCTCATCTTGAGTCTGGATCTCGCTGAGTCGATTCAGTACGCTTATGATGGACGGTGAAGATCTTGAAATATGTTTCGTGATGGCAAATACTTTTCAAGATGTATGCATATGCCTGGCCAGGGGGGCGCAGTGCATTTCCAAAATGGCCGCAGAGCACGCTGTGCTCATCTCCATCTGCAGCACGCAGCATGCGCTGCTGCGCGCAGCGCACTCTGCAATACACAACACATGCTGCACGCGGGACAACAATCAGCATAAAATTTGCATGACAATACGCCACGGCCCCCTCAAACCCTCCTTTCATGTTTGCGCAAGGGCCATAACCCGCCATCACAGGCATTGCTATATGCAAGGCGGTTTGGCAGCGTCCCTCACAGCGACGCTGTATGTTTCATGGATAAAAGCATTGTGAAGTCTGCGCCTGATGCTCACAGTATACAGCACGAAGATGTTACATGCATGTATGTACCTTCCCCAACCCTTGATCTGCCAGCCGCGCCTTCTTGCTGCCTGCCTGCCAATCAAAAGCAGTTGCATGCAGCCCTGAGGGATGGACGTACGGAGGGCTGCACGCCCTGAGAGTATGGTATGGACTTGCGCCAGCGCCGGGGCAAGTCTATTTGACAGAGACCAATATATTACTGTACACTGTGATTTGGCGCCATCGACAAGTTGGGGTCATCACAAATCAAATCACCCCTCCGGCCGATCTACAGATGGCTCAAGCCCAACAAATCAATGTTGCAATGAAACAGAGCATCAAATCTCCATAGCCATCCTATGGAATGGAAGTGTCAAGTGTCTGTCAGCAAACAATTGGATAAGGCATATTGTCAAGCAGTGTGTGCAGTTCAAAAAAGGATAGTGCTTCCAATACAATTGGGGTGTGAGCTTGCCAATCACCACTGGCAGTCAGCTTGTTCTGGTTGGGTTCTTGTCTGCAGGGAGATAACTGCAGAAGCAGTAGTGTGACACCAGCTCAAGCTCCAATAACCGCATAGTTGGCAGGCACATTGTCGCCAACACAGGGGCGAGACTCTGGCAGGGGTTGCTGTGAAGCTTTTCACGCTTAATGTGCAGGTGGCACAGCGTCTTTGTTGGAGAGCATCATCTGATAGGTGACTTGATTTATCTGGGTGTACGTGTCTGTTGAAAGCAGGTAGAGGAGGCACACTTATCGGCAGGGCGCAGGCACAACATCCAAGCAGCGGTCAGACCTTCCATGTGCTTGACATGCCAGGCGCTGGCCCTAGAGAAGCACCAGCGGCTCGCCAGCTGCATGCGTGACAATGCCGTACGTATGCGAGAGCAGGGCTCCATGCAAGGGTGTCATGTGCACGGATGTTTTTGCAAGTTGCGCCTTGCTTTGTGCCGGCTCACCAGAGATACGGCACGTGCGCGGCTCAGGGCCATGGGACAGAACCCCTATGATGTTGGCTGAGCCCGACGTGCCATCTGGCGGCTGCCAGGCTGGCTGGCCGCTCTGGCCGGCCTCTGCAATGGCGCACGCGGTCGTGCAGGACTTCTGCTTAGCGACCTGGCGTGGGGCATTGCAAAGGGTAGGAAGGCGTGTGCACAGGAGCCCATACAGGTCATACTTGCGCAAGCAGATCGACTTAGTCAGCTGCTGCAAACAAGCTTCAGTGAGCATCAACCAGCACTTTGATGCGAGGCCGCTGGTAACTAGCTGTTCCGGCCCCACCGTCTCCGATTTCAGGCAGGATAAGTTCATTGCTGTTGCTGCTGCTGCTGTTTGCCGACGTGCGCAGCAGCAGCAGCGCACGCTCCTCACTCGAAATGTGAGCGCCCCGTCGTCGCCGGTGTCGTCCGCCACCACGCACTTCCTTGCCAGTCTGTAAAAGTGACCGCTGACGGCACTCTTCAATTGATTGATTACGATACGTGCGAGGAGTTCAAGGTAGTAGTTCCGAGGTGAGAGGAGTGCAGGGCAGAGGCGAGTGTGCGCCCAGCATTCTGCTGCTGTGCGGGAGGCTGAGATCTCCACTGAAGCCCAACGGGGACAGGAGGAAAGTGACCGACCAGCACCCAAGTGCCAAGTAAGCAAAGGCCAGCCATCCTCACAAGCAAGGCGCACTCGCCAGCCAGTGTGACCCGTGCGCGCAACGGCGCTGGGTTTGGCACTCGCCTGTCCAGGGTAGCCAGCGGCCAGCAGCTGCCCTTTGTAGCCTGAGGGGTTATATTGGAACCCCAGGGTTCCTGTGACTGCGCCCAGGCCTTGGTCCAGCACTGCGAGTGCCAGGTCACTCATGTACGCCACGTCCATGGGCCATCCACTCACCCTGCAAGTGGCAAGACCGGGAGTGCCCCGGGTGTCACAGCAGCAGTATCGAAGCGGCTATATCACTCTCTTTATCGTCAGCATTGTCGTGCGCCGGAAGCGCTCGCTAACAATACAGCGTAGGCACCCGGTCAAAACACTTGCAGCAGTATTACGCTGCGCGGGGTGCGCGGTCCTCACCAGCCTGCTTGCACCACATAGTAGGCCATGGACGCGGAGCCAAAGGGCGCCTGGACCTTTGATCCTTTGAAGAACTGTCGGAACCACGATGGGATTAGGTGCAGGGGTGATGATAAGATGTGGTGCGAAAAGGGGCCGCAGAGCTGAGCACGAACCAGGTCAGGTGTGCAGACTGCTGCTGTGCAATTGGATATGGAAAAGCCGTGTGCCCTCCGGCGTGTTGATTGAACTGTAACTTTGGCTGGCACGCTCACAGCATGGGGTGTGAACTTGAGATTCCTGCAGCATCATGGTGAGCAGGAAGCCAAGGTCGGCATTATGAGTGCAGCAGTCATCAGTTGTGGCAATGTTCCATGCTCGTGCAGTAGAATGACATCTCGTCAATGCCACAAGCACTGTTGAACTGCAGGCACGACACAGCACAATCCTGAACAGCTTGCGCACTTTGAAAACTTTCTTCTGCTTCTGTCATACAGGCAGTGCTGCAGCAGTTGGGCCATCGGCATGAATAGATAGCACATGGGTTTGTGAAGATTGCTGAGTGGTCACAGGTCAGTGAACAGGAAGCGCTGGCCCAATGCACTTAGCTGCCATGCCCTGCCCCTCCCTGCCTCGCCCTGCCCTGCCCTGCCCTGCCCTGCCCTGCCCTGCCCTGCCCTGCCCTGCCCTGCAATGTTCAGTCGGCAGGAAGGACCGAAGCCTGCTCACCGCTGCAGTTGCGACAGTATGTTTGCCGATAAGGGCACCGCTGCGCAAGGTGGGGTTGGATTGGCTGTTGGGGTGAGTTGCCCAGACCACACAGGCACAAGCATTCAGAACCCCGAAGCAGCAGAAATTTCCTTGCGCCGACCATGCAGGCCCCATTGCAAGCCGCAGCAGCCATTAGCCAGAACGAAAGCATCTCACGCCCACCTGCAGGCCGCCTGGAAGGGCCCAGTTGTCATTTCGATTAGGCCAATGGCCGTGTAGGGGTACTTCTGCAGGCTCCTAATTTTGCGCCAATCGCTGCTCTTTATCTTGGGAGATGACGAAGCAGCAGCGGCACTCAAGGAACCTGTAGCGGCCCTTGAGATACCAGTTGCAGTGCCCCGTGACCTTACAGGGGCAGCAATTGCTGCAGCTGTTCCTGCAGCAGGCTGTACCGGGAGTGGTGCTGCTGTGGCCCGCCAAAGGCCGCTGGTCACTAGGGGCGCCGCAGTGCCACTGGCGTGCTTGCTTCCCAGGGTGACAACGGATGGCACGGCGCCAACATACAGCAGTCCGGAAGAGGGTACCACCCTGAGGTCAAACAGCCGAAATGTTGCATTGATTGCCGCTTCAGAATCCAGCATGGCTGCACTGCGTTGCAGAAATGGGTGGGCAGAAGGGGGTGGCACTGCACGTTTGCTGTTCGTCTGGGATGGTTGGGTAGGTGGAGGCATGCACAAAGGGGCCAGATGAACGAAGGAGGATGGATCATGGCCATGAAATCAAGCTGCTGGTGTTTAACGTGTATAACCCCTTGTCTTATGCCGGCCTCGCATGCATACTCGAATTGTGCATATGCAAGGATCGCGCCCCACCCTTTGCAACTCACCCTACGTTGCCGCTGCTCTTGGGCTTTGAAACTGGCTGAGATCTTGGCTCAGCAGTGGCCACCGCTCCCGCCAAGACAAAGCCGTCCGATGCGTACTTGCGGATTTCGGCAGCGCTTGCCGTGCGCGGCCTGGCGTCAGCGTTTGAGCCGCCTGCCGTCAGGCTCGCCACGCCGCTGCGGGTCGCCACGCTGCCACTGTTGGAGGTGCCGGAAAACAAATCTGAGGCGGCATACATGGCGTTGGGATACTGCTTGGTTGTGAATCTTCTAAATGGTCGGGATATTTGTAAGCTGAATGGGTGCATGCCGACGTGTCGCACAGGGACTTGACAACCTCTTGCATGCCACGGCGGTTTATCTGGGTAGTCTAGCCATACGCCCAACACCCAACAAGTGCGCCCCAGGCTGATGCATTTGTGTACAGGCGCAACCTGGCTTATGTATCCATGCATAACCAGCAGTGACAAGCATGAGTGTCTCTGCCGGCCTTTCACTGGCCGTGGAATTTAAGTGCGCCACTTGCCTGCAATGGGGTGAGCATCTGGGGTGTCAGCACCAGCCCCCTCAGCGCTCTTGCTCCCAACTGTGCCACTTGCAGCTGCACCACTGTCGGGCGGCGGGCGACAGGGCCTCGCATGCGCAACGGCTGTGCCAGCGCAGTCTGCAAGGCACGCATTCTGAAATGTGATGCCGTTGGCGCCGCATACGGGCGCATTGACCAGCATGCACGGCCCCGGGCAGCTTGCGGCGCCTGGAGGCCGGGTGGAGGACGGGCGCAGTGTGGAGCAGCGGACAGAAATATGCTTGTACATGGTGCGATATTTGGCACAGCAAAAAGTAATGCTGCCTGCCCACCAGCCACAGGGTCAAACGCTGGCTCCAGACCTGTGGGTCTCTGTGTGCTGGGCCACAGCAGCAGCCAATGCAGTGTCGCGGTGCATCGCAACACCTGTGCACTGACTGCCACAGCAAGTACTAAACATCATGAATTTCTCCACAACCCTCATCCCATTCATCAGACAGAGACGTCATACGTGTCGAGCGGTGGCCCGCGCACAGCATGTACAGATTTGACAGCGGACCAAGGACCCGAACAGCTCACCAGCAACCAGCCAGGACGTCACCGCAGCCCAAAACCACGGCCGGAGCATGTTTAGCACGATTGTCTCTCGTGATGGACGTGCGCCTCGAGACGTGCGACGGGCTTGTAAGCTGTCATAGCAGGAAGGCTCGCTGAAGCGCGCTTTCATTCAAAAGAACAAAAAATTGAGTTATTTACACAGTACGAAGCGAGCTGCTCAAGTGCAACAGTTCTCCGTCGTGTCACCGAGTGCCTCTGTGAGTGGTTGGTTGGTCGCACGGTCGGTGGCGGTCGCACCAGAACGCCAATCGACTCAAGCTCAAAGAAAATGATGTGATTGTAAATGTTTCGGGTATTCATATTGGCAGAGGCAAGCTGAGGCTACAGTGTGTGTGCACATGCATTGGCGGGGGGGCTCCAGCTGTGCTCAGACGCAGGATGTGGTACATGCCGGGTTGGGGTTGGGAGGTGTGTCTGGCAGGGTGCGGGAGGTTGGCGTGCAAGTTGATAGAAACGTGCGGCATGGTGAGATAGAGCTTAAAGGTGTATGGCCCAGGTGTTTGTAAGAAATTGCAACCATTTCATGTAGAGCCATCATCGCAGCACAACCTGCGCGCTTGTGTTGCAGCAATTCGAGTGCTCCTGCTCCTGCTGCTGCTCCCCCTCCTCCTCTTCCTCGCGCCGCCGCTGCTGCCGCTACTGCAGCTGCTGCGCATTCTGCATTACGCTTGTAAATCAGCAATTACAACGACGCCGCGGGCTTCGAGAGAAAGGGGCTCTTCTCAACACCAAATGGACCCCACACAATCAAAAAGGTCGCAGTCCGTCACGCGATATCCGTAACAGCACTGCTGAATAAGAAAGTTGCACTGTCGCGTGACCGATACGCGGCAGCCGCAGTCGTCACTGGTTCGCACCAGCTGGTGGATGTTTCTAAGTGAGCGGGAGGAGCAATGATGCTGGTGAAATGGGTGCGGTGGCTACCAGATTAGTTGCCAGACAAAGCGCGAGCAGCAACAAAGACAATATATGTGGATGTGCCTGTGAGCGCTGCATGCTACGTGCGTGCACCGCAGCACAGTGCCGGCAGCTTCGCAGCATGTGGGGGAGGGATAGCATGCTCTCGTGTTGCAAGCAGTGGCAGGGCCGATATATGCTGTCAACCTGCGACCTTCAAGTCAAGATTTTGAGCACGTCCGCACACAACACCCTCAGCTCAGGCTGAAGTGAGGTTGTAACCCAGGCGCCAGGAAGGCAGCCCAAGGACCCGCAGTCTCCGTGATCCGCGGTCCCAGCAATGGCCCCAGCAATGGCCCAGGGTGCAGCAATCGCGGCACAGCGGCCGCGAGTGCAAAGCCCTTGAAAGCGAACGGCCAGCAGCTGCGCTGCGACGCGGCGCCCCTTGCCGCGAAACACCTAGCCGAGGGCTGGCGGTGGCGGGGCGGGCCGCCGCAGCAGGCTCAGGCTGCGCCGTTGGGGACGAGCTGCTTTTTCTCGGGGGCGTAGGAGCCCTCAGGCGTGATGGATTGCTCAGACTTGGGGTGGAAGGAGTGGTCCGTGGGGTTGTAGTGGCCCACGCGCATGAGCTGCGGGCAGGTGCAGATACGAGAGGGCGAGGTCAGAAAGCGAGGCAGAGTGGATGAGGGCCTGCATGGGAGCAGGGGAGGACGGTGAGCATGCAAGGATGCTCCCAACATGGGTCCTCACTGCAGGCTCGCCGGCCCAGCTGCCACGCCCCACCGCCTCCACCCTGCGAAGCCAGGCACACGCCTGCACACTTTCCCACCAACCTTGGCGCGCACAAACTCCAGCGGCACCGCAGCAAAGAGCAGCAGCCCCAGCACGGCGGCCGCGGGGCCGACCCAGTAGGCCAGGTTGTCTTCCTGCAGGGCGTAGATCAGGGCAATGCCAATGCCGCAGTTGGCAATCCCTGCGAGTGCGGGTGCAGGGTTGGAGAGTGATGGCCGTGTGGTTGTGTTGATGTCAAGTATGTGCATTTTGGATGTGTGTGTTATATGTGTTTTGTTTTCATGTGTTACGTGTGATGTGTGTGTGTGTGCATTTTGGATGTGTGTGTTATATGTGTTTTGCTTTTATGTGTTACGCGTGATGTGTGTGTGTGTGTGTTTTGTGTGTATGTGTGTGTTGGGGTGTGTGTGTGGAGCAGCAAGGTGGGAAGCAGAACCTGTAGGAAACGATGCTAGCGCGCATTTGTGTGCATGTGGCAGAGGCAGGCGAGGCTGTTTGTGTGCCCTGAGGTGGCGGCCGCTGCATGGCAAGCTCACCCGCGAGGACGATGACCCATCCCCAGCCATAGTGCAGGAAACGCCATGCGGAGCGCTTGGGATCGGCGATGACCGGCCTGCAGGGTTGCGCCAGCGAGGGAGGCAGAGCTGTCGGGTCAAAGCGGGGCAGCGACAAGCCCACGAACGCCCATGCAGCCACAGAAAAGCAAGCGAAGGGGAGACCCACACGCCCCCTGCCACCCCTCCAATCACGCACACGACACCACTGCATGCACAAGCAGCCGCCCTTCTTTCGCACCTGAACCGCCCGATGAACCCCTGGATGAATGCCGCCGCCACCGCAAAGAGGCCCAGCCCCATGTGCGGCGTGTACAGGTCCGAAACGCGCTGGCGGTTGCGCCCAAACACAGCGAATATCAGGATCGTCGACGCAATGGCCAGCACGATCGCCAGGGACTGGATGTAGATGTGGGCGTGGTACCAGTGGCCCTTGATCTTCCCCGCGTCCTTGTCACCAAAGAGCCACTTGTGGCGGGACGTCAGGATGCCCGTCGGCATAAGTAGCACAAAGGCGGCGAGCATGAGCGCGCCGTGCGCCCACCGCGCGCGCTGCGCACGGGCCACGGCGGCGTCCTCGTCGGAAGCCGCGGGCAGCGGCGGGACGGCGGCGGAGAGCGCGGCGGCGCGGGCGGCGTCGCCCGCGGCCGCCGCGACGAGGGGGCGGAGGTCTGGTGAGTAGGATCCAAAGATGTTGTGCTGTGCGAGACGGGACTTGTCAGAGCTGGCCCAGATCATGTTTTGAGTGCCTGGGGCGGGGGTTCAGAGGAGATTTGGCTGGGTCACGCTGAGGGTGGGTCCCAAAAATGGTGGGTGGATGGCCATGCATGCCCGGGGAAATGCATGGAGCCAGGCAACAACGACGGCACAGGCATTGCCTGCAAGGCAGTGGCCCCAGGGCAGCCCCAAACCTCCGACTCCAGGCCCCGCGTGCCGGCCGCCCCCCGGCGCGCACCCGGAAGGTTCAGCTTGGGCGATGCCTTGGCAGCGGGCGCGTCGACGGGCCTGGAAAAGCAGACGATGGTTTTGCCGTCCTGCTGGACGACGCCCATGCTGTAGGCCCAGCCGGTCGTCGCGTCCTCTGGAGCGACCTCATAACTGACCAGGTGGTAGCTGGCCACCTGGGGGTCCAGGTTTTTGGGGGGCGGAGGGGGGGAGAGTTGCCACCACAGGCACCGGCGGCGCAGCACGGCAGTGAAGAGGGAGGGGGACAGACACGCGGCGCGATGCAACGCGGTTGGTGGAACATGCTTGGCAGCGCGGGACCGGGAAGCTGCACAGGGAACGTCGCCAAGCCGCGGAGGCAAATCGACGCGAACCTTTGGGCTGCCGCTGGCGTCTATGTAGCCCAGCACGACATCGGCGGGGTACATAGCGCCGGCGGTCGCGGTGAAGCCAGCAGAGGCCCAGCCCTGAGAGTAGGGAGGCAGCACGGCAGGAGGCGTTGAGGACGAGCCATCAAGGGGGCTACTGGGCAGCCGGCCTGGCGCCCAGCCAGCTCGCGCAGTCAGCCTGCCACGCTGTGACCCAAACCGGGGCGGCCGGACGCCAGAGGGGCCCGCCTGGCCGCGCAGGGTGCGAGTGCAACCCCCGGCGCTGCTGAAATTCGCCTCATTGTCCATCAAAAATATTGACCCAATTAGGCCGCCTAATAGACCGCCACCCACCGACTCCTGGCCCTCATAAAGAAAATGCATACTCTGGCCCGCGTTTGCCGGCGGCGCAGGTGACGCGCCGCGAGTGCACACATTGTCTGGGGCGGTCGCGCCCCCCAGTGAGTAGTGCACCTGCGAGGCAGGTGGTGTTGAGGCCAAGCAGGTGGTGTTGACGCGCAAAACAGGTGGGTGTGGCGCTGCAGTGGGAAGCTTGATCAGGCACAGGCTATGCAGGTGGCGCGATGGATGCGCTCTGAGGCCCTGCAACTGAACATGCGCTGCGGTGGCCTTCGAAGAAGTTTGGTGCTTCGCCCACCTTGGTGTTTTTGCGGGTCGTGGTGACGCAGGAGTAGCCGTAAGCCGACTGAGTGCAGCCAGGGACCACTGTGGCGTTGGACGCCGACGCAGGCGCCACCACGGCGGCCTTGGTGGTGGTGGCGGCCTTGGTGGTGGCGGCGGCCACAGGCGCGGCAGCAGCTACAGGCGCGGCGGCGGCCTTGGGCGCAGTGGACGAAGCAGCGGGGCTGGCCGCGGGTTTGGCCGCAGGCGCGGCCGATGCCGCAGCAGCGGCCGCAGGTGCGGCGGCGGCAGCCTTGGCACCAGGGCAGGTTGCGGCAGCGCAGGCTGCGTTCACGGTGAAGGTGGCCCTGGCGTCCAGGAAGCCGCCACTCGACCCATCGGCGCTGGTGACCACCAGCTGGCCGGAGCCTGCAATTCCAAAGCCCGGCGCGAGCGGCGGCAAATCACGAGCCGCCAATCAAAAGTCCGGCTTCCCATACCAGCTGCCTCGTGCACAGGCAGGGCAGTGCGCACGTGAGCCTACATGCGTCGCTGCTGCCCCTGCCAGCGCACCCTTCGCTCACCTTTGGCGCCGCACGGCACAAGCCAGTCCACTTTCAGGGGAAGCCCGCGGTCGCGCTTGAGCATAAAGTAGCGCGCAGGGCTGTGCGTGTTGTGCGTGTGCATGTGTATGTATTGGTTTGAAGAGCCGCGTTTCAATGGGGCCAGGCTTTAGCGCAAGATGGCACGTGCCGAAGGGTGCGCAAGCGCGGGCACCCGTGCCGCCCACCACTCAGGCCAACGGAATTCGGCGCTTCTTCCGCTTGCAGCTCTGAGGCAGCCACGCTGACGTCGGGGCGGGGTGTGTGCTTGGAGGCAGCGGCGAACCGGTGCTGCCCTGCTGTCAGAGGCCGCACCAGTTGGGGTCCTTGCCTCCCACGGGTTCAAACGTGCCAAGGGTGGTTGTGATGAGGCCAAGCCTGTCCTCTCCAGGGGGAAACTGCACCTGCGAAAGGTCGGCGGGACGGCGGCCAGGCATTGGCCAGGGACGACGCGGCAATTGTGTGTCAGGTGAGGAGCTCAACTCGGGCTTGGGCCCGTCCCAGATGTGACCGACTTTGCGCGTCATTATGCGCTTTCCGAGCGCCCCGTAGAGAGTCCACCAGAAAGAAACGGCAGCCGCTGTGCATGCATGCTGGGACCCCTCCCACGTGCGCGTGCAGCAGGGTGCAGCAGTTGCATCGTAGCCACGGCCTGCAAAGCAGCCCGGCCCACGGCCCTCCGCACCAGGATGGAGTGCTTGGCGCCAGGGCACACCGCGGTCACGGCCGCACCGCTGGGGTTTGACACAACAAACTTGGTGGCGCTGCAATCCAGGACCAGGTGGAGGGGTGCAGGGCGGAGGGGGCGGGGACAAGAGCGTCACACCCGCACACGCTGTCACAACGGCTGCTGCGTAGATGCCCTTCATAAGGCAGCACCCAGGGCCGGCGACGGGCCTGGTGCACTGCCAGCACAGTGTAGTCCATGATCCATCATGATACTGGTGGCATGGCCAGCACAGACATAGCGTGCGTGCAACGCCAGGACCATCCACCAAAGCAGCAGCCAGTGGCTAGAGGCCGTGCACGTCACCGCCACTGCGCAGTCCCACCTGTCGGGGACGGGAGCCTTGTGTTCGCCCTCTGCATGGAAAAAGCGGCTGAAGTTGAAAACATGCGTCTTTCCAGGCGTCAAACCTGGCAGGCATGCAAGGGCTGCATCGCACCTGACTTCGTCGGGTGGGCGTCGCAGGCGTGATTCTCCTCCTGAGTCCACAACAGGGGGTAAGCACTGACAATACAAGGCGCCAGGGCCACGCATACCAGCGCGAGCCACGCTGCGCGCATGGTGCCGGAGGATTCAATGGGCCTACAGTATGCAAGCCGTCGCTGATGAGATAGGAGCGATGCCTACCGGTATAAGAGCTACAGCAGAACAGTAATGTAAATGATCATTGGTCGACAGTGTTGATACAAAGGATCGACCGACGTTTAGCTTGTTGCAGCTGACGAAGCTGCACGAAGCAGGTCGAGTGAGCTGCATCCCCGTCCCCAAGCACATCGCATGGTTTAACGAGCGACATGCACGAGAATTATGGCTGCAATATCCACTTTGATGAGGACATCAGCCCTGCCGAAGGATCTGACTCACCCCAGTTCCTCTTTTGACTGCGGCCGTGTGCGGTGGCGGACACCGCGCGTGCTACTGCACAGGTGCAGGCACGGTCCAAGACTGCATGCCTTTCAGAAGCACAAGGATTCATGCATAACAAATTTGATTTGTTTTCGACGGTGGGCGTGCTGTGCTGTCTACCATTTGCCTCAGCTGCAGCGTGCACTGCACGCAGCCTAGGGGGTCTGGGCCCCGCTCCGAGCCCAAGGCATTGCGATTTGTCATCCGCACCCACCAGGCAGGTGGTTGGCCATGCGTGCCAGACGCCGTGGCCCAGAGCATATCCCCACCACGCTCGTACATTGTCAGATTCCTGGTGGAGAGTGCAATGCTGTGGGGGTTGACAGGCGCACCGATATCAACAACGCCGCAACGGCCTGTGCAGGGGGCGTAGCGATCTGCAAGTTTGGCTGGCGCGCACGCCATCAGCATGAGTGCAGTGCTCTCAGTTCTACTGAAAGGCGGATGTTCTTGCGTGGAATGCTCTTGCATGGAGTTCAAGACTCACCGCCTGCATAGAGCGGCTGGTACTGTATGGCTGTTGCATGCGCGCACCGCTGGGATGCCCAAGCATGCCATGTTGTGGCTCTGGCAGCTCTGCACACAGCCGTGCATTTATCCTACATTCGGTTGTGTTTCAGGGCCAGCTTGCAACCACGGCTAGCTGGCCTTTGCCCAGCAGGTGGGAAGGGCTGGCTCGGTTCTGCCCCCTGTGATGCTGGACCTCAGGACCACAATCCAACGCCAACGGAGTGTAATCGCGGGTGCAGTGTCACATAACAGCGTATGTTTTGACGTTCATATTATGGCTTTGCTGCCTCGTTGGGCGCGCGCAACCTGCCACAGAATCTGGTGGGTGCATCGATAGCGCTTCCGGCGTCGTGACGCTTTCATGAAGCGTCCCGTTGACGCGGGATCCGGCGTGCACCCCTGCGCCATGGGCTCGGCCCAGTTCGACCAGCTTTTGAAACCGAGTCATTTACTCGCCATATGCCAATGATCACGGTGCACTGCCTCTTGCGATCCCCCTGATGAACGGCCCGTCTAGCCGTCTGCAAACACTGAACTTGTTCCCAGCATCATGCAACCATATAATTTCGCACGTAAAAGTACATACAAACGCTTAGAGGCAGCTACACACGACGGCAATCGTTCGATCAAGCTCGACTTGCGACACGGCGCCCTCGTCGCCTCGGCGGCCTAGAGACGACTACAACAACGAACATGATTTCTTGATCGAAGCTGTACTCTCTTGTTGGCTGTGAGGGCACCCGGCTGCGTGCGCTCCTGCGCGCCAGACAGAGGTCGATCGCCCCATGTGCTACCTAAACAGCTCACACGCATCCTCTGCGCTTCATCAAGAACATTGCGTGGCCGAACGCGGCGCAAGCCACCCTGTCGAGGGCCGCGCTCGGAACTCAGGTGCGTTCTCAGGGCCTCGGGTCCACGTAGCGGGCCTGATTTGTGTTTAAGGTTGTCATAACTGCATGATCGACGTTGGGACCCTCGCACTATGCCTGATCGTCGCGCTCGGCGGGTTGTGCGCCGGGTTGCGGGTATTTTGACGGGCAGTGAACCTCACGTGCAGGCATGCCACCACCCCCTTTGTTGCCCGAGAGGTGTGCACCTAGTTTCAATTGCCAGAGTCCACTGCACCCATGTGTCCTAGACGCGCTGTGCGCAACCCCATGCATCACCCGCCGCCACCCCAACAGGCCCCGTCGCCATCGTGGCACACGAGCCACGCCCACTCTCTCCCCACCATCGCTGCTCCTGTGGCGGAATGGACTGGGCCGATGATGTGCTCGCCGGCGTAGAGTGCAGCGACCATCGGCAGCGGAAGGTGCCCCCCCAGGCGCTCGCGCCCATCCGCACGCTCGCGCCGTTCGCCGCACAGGCGCCAGCCGCCGCGCCCACGGGCGCCGCCTGCGCCAGCGCCGCGCTGTACGGCGAGCGTGTCGGCGGCCTGCGCCACGAGGCGGCCTCGGCCGCCGTCGCCGCGGCGGCCGTTGCAGCAGCACAGCGCGCGCGGCTGCAGGCTGTCGCTACGGCGCGTGACCAGGCCGCCGAGCAGCACAGCAAGCCGCCCATCCAGCAGCAGCAGCAGCAGCAGCAGCGCCCCGCGACCTCGGCCCTCCCCGCCGTGGATCTGCTCCAGGTGCTGCACGCCGCCGCCGCCACGCGCAACGCGGGCGGCGCCACATCTCTCTACGCTGCCCGCAGGGCTCAGGCCGCTGCGCTCGCGCCCACGCTGGCGCCCGTGACGGCGGCCCCTCAGCCGCCCAGCCAGGCCGCCGCTGCAGCCGCCACGATCAGCAGCGGGTTCGCCGCGCGCCTGCAGGCCGCCGCCAGCGCGGCGGTCGCGGCCGCGGCGCAGGCGATCCACATCCCCGCCGCCGCGCGCCCGCCGCCCGGCAGCGGCGCCAGCAGTGGCAGCGGCGGGAGCGGCGCGTCGTCCCTGACCCACGGCCTGGCCGGGCCTGACGGCTGCGGCGCTGCTGCGCCCTGCGCACCGTGCGCGGACGACGACACGCGCCTGCTGATCTGCAGCGACGACGAGATTGAAGACGGCGACAATGATGACGACGGCATGGCCAAGTCGTGCGGCGCGATGGCCGTGACCAAGCGCCCCGCGCCGCCGGCTGCGGCGGCTGCAGCCAAGCGCGCATCGTTCGCTGGCGGGGCCGCCGCCGCCGCCGCCGCCGCGCCGCGCTCGGCGCGCGTGCGGCTGCTGTGCGCTCGCGTCAGCATCTACACGGACTGCTGCAGCCCTGCGGCGCTGGCGGTCGCCAACACCGTCATGAGCAGCATCATGCTGCCAGGTGGGCTCATGGGGCAGCCTTGCATCAGGGGCCTGCGATTCCGTCCAGCGCACCCCATGTCTGGTTGCACGGGCCCCCTTTTGGCCATGCAGCCCCGCTCGTTCTGCCCTTGCCCAGCGCACATGCCCGGACAACCCCTTCATGCAAACCCTCCCTGCTTTCACGCCCTTCTGTTGGAGGGACCTTCGCAGCGCCCCTCGTCCTCACGCTTCCCCCTCCACTCCCCTGCTCCGTCCCCATCACCAGGCGGCGTGTGCTACCTGCCCGTCTTCCCGGACTCTGTCGAGTTCCAGATGGGTGCCACCTGGCGGTTTCCCTCGTTCGCCGTGGCCCTGGGCTCCTCCTACTTCCAGCGCCTGCTGGCCGCCGTGCCCCACCTCGCGCACGCCGCGCGCCGCTGCCCCGCATTCGAGCGGTACTGCAGCGCGCTGCCGTCAGGCGGACAGGTGGGCGTCGCCGGTGCACGCGCGCGCACTCGTGTGTGTGTGTGTGTGTGTGTGTGTGTGTGTGTGTGTGCGCGCGCGCGTGCGCATGCGTGTGCACCGCATCCCCATGTTTTCGAGAGTGGGTGCGCATGCGCATGCGCACGCATAAACCTGCGCATGCACACGCATGCGAACATCCAGATACGTGCGCATCTGCATGTGCTTGTGCATGTGATTACGGTTGTGTGCCGACCTTGAGTGCCGGAATTTGAGGATGCATGCGCCATCTTGCGTACGTGAGCGCTTGTGGATGTTTGCACTTGTGGGCACACGTGCAAGCCTCTGTCAAAACTACAGTGATGCTCGTAGTGCAGTGATCCCTCCACTGCACAGCCCTTCTCTCGGCTCCACCACACCTCACCTCACACCACCCACGCCCACTCCCACAGGCCCCCGCCGCCTGCGCCAGCGCCAACGAGGCGTCCTCCCTGGAGTGCACCCTGCGCTCCACCCAGTTCACGTGCATCTTCCTCGCCACCAAGGTCGCAGACCAGGTGAGGCCAAACGGTCAGGGCCCACGACGTGCTGCCGGCACAGGCGCGCTCATGCACATGTGCTTTTGGGGTGAGATTCGAATTCCGGGTGGCGCTGCTGCGCGCACTGGGGCGCAGTTGGGGTGTGGCTGCTCGGCACGTCTGCTAGCTGGATCCTCCTCCTGCCAGCGTCCCTATTCCGCACTGATATCCCGCGCTTCTGGTGCGCCCCTGACCCCCACCCCCTCGACAGGTCCACGCGTATGGCCTGCTGCGCTTCATGCTCAGCTCGCTCACCCGCCAGCGCCGCGCCGTCACGGGGGACGAGGCGGCCAGTGTCGAGCTGGGGTGCCTCTCTGGCCTCGGCTGGCGCATGGGGCCCTACTTTGCCGAGGACCCCCTGGGCGACAATAGCGACAGCCTGATAGGCCTCTTCTGCGGCGGCGCGCCCCGCTGAGCGCATGCGCACGCGGGCGCACGGCCGGCCTCGCCCCGCTGCGGCGCGCGGCGCCTTGCCGCGCTGGGGCGCGGCGCGCAGCGCCGCGGCTGGTTGGCTATGTATGAATAGGATGCTGCGGGCCCATGTCGGCCTGCAAGCGGGCTTGCTGCCGATTCTGCGCCTGCCCGGCTACCAGATCCCCCGCAGCGGGAGAAGCGTTCCAGAAGAACTCCCTGTGGAGAAGAAGTGTGAAGACGTGCACCGTCTTAGGCAGTGAAGCTGCGGCGCACAGCAAGGCGGCCGGCGAGCTGGCAGACAGGCGGCCTGCGAATAGGGAGCGTTTCGCCCGCCAGCTGCTGCCGCCGCCCTCGCCGCTCCGCCGGATCGTTTTTGTTTGCCATCACGGCCCTCAAGAAATGTGGGGCGTCGCGCTCGCGCCGCCCCCCATCCCCTTGCCGCCGCGTGAGCCTACGGGCCTCGCCGCGGCATGGGTTGCCCAAACCAATGTTTCCCGCTTTCAAGCACCGCCCTCCCGTCGATAGGCCAGGGCCCCTTTTGCAGGTGGCTTGCGCCCTTCAGCATCTACTCCCTGCTACTGCTCCCCGGGCTCCCATGCTAGGGCCGCACCCTGCTGCTCTGCTGGGTACTCCCGCGGGCTCCCCTTGGTGTGAGCCACCCTTTTGTGGGCACCTCTTGAGTGAGAGGGCTCCTTGCTGTTCGGTTCGATGAGTGATGGACACCCCTTGGTTTGCTGCGGTCCTCGCGGGCTCTCCACGTGCAGGCCAGATAGACACACTGTGTGCAGGGTGTGCCCGTTCGTTTGCGGCGCAAGTCCAGGCCGCCCTGCGCCTCAAGCACTTGCGCCCACGCGTGCCTCGCCAAGCCCCGCAGCACCGTCTGCATCGTCCCACAAACGATTCAGCGCGCCGCCTGCCTCAACAAACCAACCACGCGCTGCGGCTCACGCCAGCAGCAGGCGAACCAGCTTAGGTCGTATCGCGCAGGGCAAATTCCAAAAACCACCCGTCACTTTCCAAGCAGCAGAGCGCCCAACGAGCCCCGCCGGCGGACTGCGCTGTCCGTCCACGCCCCGTCCCTGCCCATTCGTAGCCACTCAAATCCGGATCCCATTTCACAGGGGAAGTTCCTCCCTGGGGTGCTGGGCAGGCCTGGCTGCGCCTGCGCGCACCGCGCGCGCCCCTGCCCGCACCTTTGTATGTGTAGGGACTTCACCCATTTGCAGGTGTTACAGCGCATACACATTAGGCTTTTTTTTTGCTGCAGCGTTTGACAGTTTTGCGATTTGGGCCGAGTGTCGGGAGGCTCGCCAGTTTGTGTGAGTGCCGCGGGCGGTGAGGACGACGGTCGGCCTTTATCACGCCTTGCGCATCCGCCACACCGCTACTCCTTGCCCCCTCCCTGGTGCTGATCCAGCCGAGGACGGTCATAGGAGTAGCGATGCATTCTCCATGCATCGTTTTTGCTCCGAGGCCATTCCACCTGATTGGCGAGGGAAGCCCAGCGGGCGGCCATCAATGAGTTGATGGGAAGCTTGCGAGATGTGCATGTCGGTGTGAGAAGCCGCACACACAAGCATCTGTGCGTGTGTCGGGTTCCAACTCAACTGTGTCTGGCGTTGGCGGGTACATGCCGCTGCTTTGTTCGAACACGCAACCCCTGCAAGCCTCTTCTGTGGCTGTTTTGCTCCGCCGCGTAGTCTTTATTTATCAGTCCGTTGTTCTGCCTCTCGCCTCCTTTCCGCCCGCCACATCCGCAACCGCCTGGCCGCGCATGTTAGGTGGAACGCCCCGTTCCCAGCCCCCTGTCCTTAGCCCAAGATGCACACAGATGTGCGAAGCGGAGTCGAGATTGCCGGCCAACGACCGCTGGGCGCGCCACACACCTGCCGCAGGTTGCGCACAGGCGCACTTGTGCGGCTCGCGGGTGCGCTGCAATTTGGGGCGCCCCTTTGCATTCGCGTGGGCGGTTTCGAGGCCGGCCCAGTGCGGGTGGTTTACAAGCTGGGTCTGGCGCCCCAGGGGTGTAGGTACCTGCCGTCCGCTAACCAAACATGGCAGCGCAAGCGCGTTGGCAAGTCAGACAACCTATCTGCAGCTTTTCTGCATGTGGATGTCGCGCGCTTCTTCGCCACCTGCGTCCTGTCGTGCAAAGGGGCGAGTCAAACCTTGATTGCAGACAACAGGAGTCGCCCAGCGGGCTTGACACCCATCAACTTTCACACGTGCAGTGTTATCTTAGACTTTGTCGGGTGCTGGCACCAACGACATGTGCACAGGACTTTCTACCAGACACTCGGCCTCCTTTTGCGGCCTTCATATTTTAGGCAGGGGATGTTTTTGCAGCGTGCCTGCGCCAGGGATTGGTACGCCTGAATGTGCAGCAAGTGTGGGAGGTGTTGCTCCTGCTTGCCCCACGATGTACGTTTTGCCCTGGCGTGTGAGGTGTTTGCTATGCGTGGCTTCTGCAGGCGTGTGTTGGGGGTGCTCTTCAGAAGTACTTTGGTGCCCATTGCAGGAGGGGCTGTGTCCCAGCGCTCCCCCTTGCATTCCCATCAGAACTTCCCACCTCATAGGTTTCCATTCATGCGTGCGGGCCCCGTTTGTGGCCGGCAGCATGTGTGTCCAAACCCGCGGTGCGACAGGATTGTGTCTTTGACCGAGCCTACGTCGGATAGTTTGCGCTCCACGGTGTGGTTTACGCACAGCCATGCGATTTTTAGCTTTTTGCATCGGGCCTTTTTAAATCGGCCGCGGCCCGCAGCAGCAACTTTTTGCCTTATTTATAGGTGGGTGGGTGTGTTTGTGTGTGTGGCAATTTCCATTTAATTTTTAGATGCATGCCATGCCATTGTGTATGTTGGCGCGCTTAACAATTCCTGCAAATCTTGCCATGTCATGCGCGCCGCTTTCAGGTTGTGGAGCAAAACTCAGATTAACATGCATGCAGGATTGGCCAGCAAATTGGGCCGCCTGAGCGCAGCTGCCTGGTTCACGTCGCAGGATTGTCCGCGGCAACGTTTGCAGAGCAATTGTAATGGTATTTGCAGAAGTTGCGCTGTCTGTGAAAGCACTCTCAGGCATATCACACTTTCAGCTCTATCAGCACAGTGCCTGACCCCTCCCGAGATGGCGCAAATCTTACACACAAAATCGCCAAGTCACTGGCGTGGTAGGGAGCAGGAAACTGGGCAATGCTGATGCTAGTGAGTTGTAGAATGCAAATTAGACTCATTCATCTGTGAATACCAAGCCGCATGCTGCGCAGCCACTGGTCTTACAGACATCAGTGGCCTGCCCCACCAACGATGGCGCGCCACCGCCCGGAACCCCAGGGCGCCAAGCGGCCATTGCGAGTGGTTGGCTCAGTCTGCGATGGGTGGGGCATGTTGCGTATGTGTGCGGCGTCGTCATCTCCTCATGAACACTTGCCTTCGAGCGTGCTGGGAGGCCAGGGGAGAAAAGGCACGAGCTGCGCCCGCCGCTTAGCCTGTGCCCATCGTGCCCAGAGTTCAGTGTGTTCTCACATTTTGCTCAAGGGCTCTTCGGGCTGGCCGTCTTGTCGCCCTGGGTTGCGGCTGGCTTGGTGACCTTTGGGGTGGGACTGGCGACCTTGGGGGCAGGGCTGGCAGCCTTGGTGCCGGCATCCACAGGCTTGGCAGCGGGCTTGGCCGCGGGCTTGACTGCGGGCTTGGCCTTTGCAGCGCAGGCGGCTGCAGCACAGGCCGGGTTGACGGGCAGAGTAGCCGCAGTGCGCTTATACGCGGCCTTGCTTCCATGTGCGGACGTGACGTCGATTTTCACGCTGGTGGCGGCTGCGTGGGACGCAGTGACAGAGGTGGAGCGGATAGAGAGGGGTGCAGAGGCAGGGATGCAGGTCTAGCGGAGCGAGGCGGCAACACGCACACCACTGCTGGGCGTCGGTCTCGACCCGGGCATGCTCAACGCACTCTCCCCAGTAGCAGGACACCCGCGCTAAGATTATGAAGTCCAAATTGCTGCATGATCGAGGGCCTCACCGCTGCAGGCGACGTTAAGCGTGATGGTCTGCAGTTCCCGCGGCGCAAACCCGCCCAGCGGTGTCGGCGCAGAGCGGTCAACAGCCAGCCGGCCAGGACACGCTGCGTCGGCACCTGGGAAGCTGCCAGCGTTTGTAGTGATGAGGGCCAGGCGCACCTCGCCGAAGCTCAGCTGTGCGCGGCAGGGGCAGCAGGGAAGGGGGCGTCGGTGATTAGCCGGCTGCTCTCAGCTGGGCAAGACCGGTGTCTGCCTGTTCGAGGCCGGTGTTGCCACCCCCCAACCATGCTGGTGCAAGTGATTTGGAAGCTGCTTGCCGATGCAAAGGACGTTGCAGCCAGTCGCACAGGCAGAGTGGACCGCTGTGATATCACCCACTAATCCACATAATGAAGCGCCAACCCCCAACACAAGGCAGCGGCACCTTAACGCTGTACGCAACGCCAGGGCAGACAGTCGTGACGGCCTTGCCAGCGCTATCCAGGATAGCGACAGTAGTGGTGCTGCAGGTTCAAGGGAGCAGCGTTAGTGCAGATCTACTGAATTTTAGGAATGCCTGTCTGACAAAGCAAAGAATTCAGACTGCCGTTGTCAGGTGGCTTCCTAACTCGCGCAGACCGCGCCGCATGGGGTGCCCCCAGAGTCTCACGTGTCATTCTGCGGCGCTTGATGCCCCCGATAGCCGCGGTCTGGGTGCGCCGTGCAGCCTTTTTGCTTCTGCAGCGAGCCGGGGTGGCGTGCACGTTCAGCATGGTGCAGGATGGAAGCAGGCAGCAAAGTGTCTTCAAGCGCTCACCCCCTGACCGAGGTTTCTGGTGTCGCCGAGTGCGCGGGGAGTCGAAACCCTTTCATTCGCTTTTCAAAACTCACGCTGTAAAAGAAAGCTGGGTAGCCAGCGACGAGGTGCGCGGCGCAACCCAGCACCAGCACCGCTGCGAGCGCGTGACGCGCCATTGTCCAGTTACCGCGAGCCGGGACGGAGTTTATGTCGATAGCAATATCTCCCGCACGTTGAGCCGCCACAGATCAGGTCGCAGATCGGGAACTAGGAAATGTTCGCAGCAGCGTCCAGCAGTGTATGTTGCAAGGCGCGTCTTGTGGCTAAAACTGTAGGCTATCTGTTCCATGTGTCTGTTCCTGGATGTGTTGCCCCTGCCGGCCCCTGTCCTTCTCGCAGCGTTGCTGCTGTGGCCTCTTGGGGCCGGCCACCTTGGCAAGTGACACTTGGCGTAGCTGGTATGCTGTAGATGCGTCTGCGGGACGCTTGTGCGCGCATATTTTTTTGCGACTAAAGGGATTTAAGGTTCTGGCTGCAAAGCACATGGCACAAGTACAGATGCGGAGCGCAAAAGCTACAAATGAGCCCAAATGGGTCAAAGTGGGGCCACCTCGACACGAGTGACCGCAAAGCCATTCAGCCACGAAAGCCTGCAAGGTTGTTACCTGGTACATCTGGTTTGCTACTCTTAAAGACGATGCACAAGAGCGTTGCGCTCAGCAGGAAAGGGAGGCGCGCTGGTTGTTTCATTGTTTGCACAGGAAAATTTCCCGGCTCGGCAAACAGCCAGCCGCCCCAAGTACGCGCAAGTCACTACGTTGTGTCGAGCCTCAGTTTGCATGAAAGTTGGTAATGCGATCGGTCACCGGAAGTCACAGCGCAGTTGGCCGCCAAGTGCTTCTCGACCCCGCATCGTTTTGAGTCACAGCCCCATCGCTCCCCAAAGCTCGCACGCATGCGCGGAATGCAACACCCACGCTGAAGTGTCATTTGCTCTTGGCACAGAGCGCCTGTGCGATCTGCTCTCACAGAGTGTGCGAGAGGAGCCACTTTGCGGAGCCAAAACGTCGCTTTTGCATGACAAGTGACATCTGCACTGCTACTGAGTGCACCGACAGCTACTAGACACGGGTGACCGGCCAAATTGGGGCAAGCCAGATCAGAATCGCGACCCTGCGCGCGGCTCCTTGCGCTCGGCCACCTCCAGGGCTGCGCACAATTGAGACATGGTGGTGAGTCGGCTGGTTTTGGTTGTTCTTTGCTGAGCAGGGGCGGCGGAGGCGCGGTCAGCCGCCGGCGCATGCAGGGCACATCCAAGGTGGTGTCCCTCGCAGGCTCACCCGGGGTGTGCCTGCACCTTTCCGTGTACGGTGTGGTGCCTGCTCAATGGTGTTTCACTGGCCGATAGTAATGACTGGCAGCTGTGGCAGCATGAGCAGTCCTGCTCATGAACACCAGTCGGCAGGCTCGACAGCACACAGCCGCTGGACCACACCTGCACCAGTGCCCATGCCCAACGCCGCACTGTCCCCGCTCCCCGCAGCTGCCTCTCCGCTGGCGGACTCCGGCACGCGCCGCCGCCGTGCCCAGCTACCCGCTGGCGCGGCTGCCAGCGTCGCTGCCGCTGCTAGTGGTGGCGCTGCCGCTGCTGGCCGTGCTCGTGGCAGCGCAGTCACCGATACCTTTCGGCAAATATGACTGCTTGAACCCCGCAATCAAGTCCGTGGATGGCTTCAACCTCAACACTGCCACCCACCAGATCTCGGTGCTGCCCGCTGGCTTCACCAATGCCGCCGCCAAGGACAGCGTGGCAGCAGTCGTGTCTGCAGCAGCGACGCCCCAGGAGGCCGCCGCTGTGTACGGCACAGCATATGGTCCAGAGGGCCCCTCTGTGTTTGAAATGTTGGCACCCAATGTTTTTTTAAACCCCGATGGCACTCACAAGCAGAGACTGCCTAAGGCCATAACGCTCTTCAAACGTGTCGACCCTGAAGCGTCGCTCGCTTCTGCTGCGAGGATCGGTGCCACGATTGCTGCCGCGGCCGCCGCTGCAGCACCCGCCGCCGCGGCTGCAGCGAGCGCGGCACTTCAGGGCAGTGCGGGCGCCGCGGCGACGGCGGTCGCGCCGGCGGCGGTGGCCCCGACTACCATCACTATAGCTGATCTCTTCAGCATCACTTACTACGGCACCTGGAAGCTTGTCACAAACCTGGTCGTCAACGAGGTGCGTGCACTGTTGTGTAGGCTGGCTGTACTTGGCTTGCGGCAAGATGCGTCATGCGAGGAGGGTGCAGACCTGCCGCGAAAACTCTGTGCCGCCTACATGGTTTTGCACCTCAACTCCCACCCCCGTGAAGCACACATCAGCGCAAAAAACACGTGGGCGCGCACAGACACGCACATATGCACACACACACACACACACACACACACACACACACACACACACACACACACACACACACACATGCGTACACAAACACACTCTTACACGCGCACACATTATTCAAATCACACACAAGCACAAGCGTTCGCACGCACGGGGCGCTCACCGCCCCCGCTGCCTCCACCATGTCACCTCCATGAACCATCCTAAACTTGCAGACGTACGTCCTCTATCAGTGCGGCACTCCCAACCCCGTGGACCTTGGTGTGGCACCCAAGGACACCAAGACTTTCCAGATCCCGCTGCACTCTTTGGCTGTGCCCGACACGACCGCTCTCGCCCTCGTCGGCCAGGTGCGTGCTTTCGTGTGGGCTCGCGTGCGCACGCATGCATGTTTCAGTGAGCTCGGGTAGACGTGGGCACATGTGGTGTAGAAGGCAACACAAGCCATTGTGGTGGCGATGCCAGGCGGCTGTTGTGACCTCTCCCTGCGTCATGTGTCTTGGTCTCTTGCCTTGTGAGATGCTTCCTGTCAGAAGAGACAGCCCCTCTGAACCCTCGGACTACATGCAAATGCACACACACACACCTTTCCCCCGATCCGCTCTCTTCAGTCTGTTTTGAAGCTGCAGGACCGTGTTGTGGGTGCCCCCAGCTACTGCACCGACGCTTGCGGCCAGGTCATCGCCAGTGAGCCCCCCTCCGCGCCCGCCCTGGCGCCCGACCCTGCTGTGCATGTGCCTTATCTTGCCTCCTTTCCCGCCCGGGTCTTTGTCGTCGCTCGTGTTCGCAGGCGGCAGAGGCAGCCAAGCCAGTAGCAACCCTGTCATGACGCCCTCATGCACCTTTCCTGCAACAACCCCGGTGATTGCAGCCAAGTGCGGCTTCAAGGCGGACCCGGACCCCTTCACCTTCAAGGTGCCGGGGAACATCCTCGGGGTGTCTGACGCGCTCCTCGACACCTTCCCTAACGGCGACCCAAAGTCCATCATCATCAGGTCTGTGGCCGCAAATTGCTGGAAGCGAAGGGCATACCTTGTCCTGACATTTCCAAAAAATGTGGGCACCACTCCTCACGTTGGTTGAAACATGACTCAGTGAACTGAGCAGAGGTTGCGCTAGTCCATGCTGCGCCCAGCTGGTAGCTTGCCCAACCCCCTTGCCCCGTTGCGCGCGCCACGCAGTGCCCCCGGGACTTCCCCCGCCATCCGGCCCCAGTGGCTCAAGTTCATCGGTGCCTTCTTCAACCGCGAGGGCGTCGCATCCAACAGCGCCGACACGCGCATGGTGCGAACACAGCCTCCGGGGCAACAGCCTGCTATGCGCCAGTCTTGCGCAACACCTCGCTGCTCAACCATTCCGTTTGCTGACCTGCTGACGGCCTACTGCACCCCTGCGGCCCGCTGTACGTTTGCCGGCAAGGCGTGGATGCGTGAGTTCGACACACTCCGCAACTAAACCCTCACCCCATGCCCCATACCCAAAACAACGCTGCAGCGCAATTACCTGCGGAAGGCAAAGCTGGCTAGGGCTGCAGCTCCTGACAACAAGCCCAAGGTGACTGTTGACTGCGCCACAAAGCACAGTTGCATCCCCTGCGACGTGCAGGGTTTTAGGCAGCCTTACGGGTCTGCGAGGGTTTCGTCTTTGCGCAACACTCGGTCGGCGGATTCAGCAGCTTGTCTTTTCCCCAAACATGCGAGGCCCAGGGATGCATTCAGAAAGAGATTGTGTGCTTGCCAGTCTGGGTCCCCAGCATATTGGCACGCAAGCACAGCTGCACGTCCCGCTGAGGTGGCCGCTGTTTCGCCAAACATAATTGTCATCTGCTCATCTTCCAGGTGATCTGGATCTCCTCCATGGACATTTTCAAGGACTGGGGGTATCCTGCTGACGGCATCCAGTATGTCATCTTTGGCACTAGGTTCAAGAAGAGCTACGTGGAGGTGGGCGCGCTCAGATGTGTGGAAGTGTTTCTCGTGTGTGTGTGCGTGTGTGT